TTCAAAATTTTTAAAGGGTAAAGGTGATAGCATTAGTTCAAAATCAGCGGAGCAGTCTATTATTTTTAAATTCTCTCCAGCATACAGCCCACACTTCAATGGCTTAGCGGAAGGCTCTGTTAAGGCAGTCAAGCATCATTTAAACAGAGTTCTTTCACTGGCAAATTTGACATACGAAGAAATGAATACCGTACTTGTGGGTATAGAAGGAATATTAAATTCCCGTCCACTCACCCCACTCTCTTCCGATCCCAATGATTTTATCCCATTGACTCCGTCCCATTTCCTAATCGGACGCACTATTACTATGCTGCCTACTTCGCAGAATGATTTCGAGGAGTCAGCCAGAATCTACACACTCCCTCGATATCAGAGAGCGCAGCTACTAACACGTCATTTTTGGAATCGATATTATTTGGAGTACATTTCAGACTTGCAAAAGCGACAAAAATGGAAACGTACTAGTGGAGGAGAACTGCGTGTCGGAGACCTAGTCATCATTAAAGATGAACGGCTGCCCCTCAACCACTGGCAACTTGGACGTATCATCCATTTACATCCTGGCAACGACGGCATCACTCGCGTCGCTGACGTCAAAACAGCTACAGGAGTTGTAAGAAGAGCCTACAACAGATTGTGCTTACTACCATCTGAAGAATCCTTGGAACAGGACGTTCCAACCCGGGGAGCCTGTTAGCGCCTGAACACATTCAACGGACTTAATTGCACATCATCGAATAACTATGACGTTCGGGCCATCATGACGCGTCACTGTTCATACTACGTTGTGAGTCGATCGAATAAACTACTGTATTTTTCATTCCGAGCGCATTTTCATTTTATCGAGCTCATGAGCTATTGGAAGTTTCTGCGACATTATATTAACCTGGCTTGTGAATAATAATTAAAACCTTTTTTATTGTCAATGCTGTGTGCAGTTAACCCATCTAAACTTTTTAATATAACATTGTGTTCAATTAGCTTTCCGCCAGCGGCTTATTAATATTGTTCTTGAATCTTTTTGAAAATCTAAAATAAACAGAATATTAATGAAAACCTCATTAAAATACGTGGAGTAGTTTAAAAGATTTAAACGTTCAGACAGCGAAAAACGACTTTGATTTATATTAGATTTGTAACAAAAATTGCTGTTTTCATAATAAGATGGAGTAAAGAAGGAATATTTCTGCATTACATCTGGGGTTGTGAACCAAAATCTGGTCGCGGATGGTTTTGGGTTATGACACGAGAATCTCCAAAAGACAGTGTGAGCAAACTATGGACTTTTAGTTAATCCTATTATTCTATTAACACTGATACATAACGAATTAGGGTCACGGCCTTCAAATATACATTATTACTTATATTTTTTACCCTCCAATCCGCATTGGGCCAGCGTGGAGGGTCATAGCCCATCGTCCTTAACCATCCATAAGGAAGGCCTGAGCCCCTGCAGTGGGGACGTAAAAGGGCTGATGATGATGACTTATATTTCGGGATGTCAGCCAATATGATTAAGCACAACCGCATTAAAGTTTAATGTAATTTGGTTGAAATAGAAATAGATAAGATACTTGTTGGACATGTCGGAAAAAAATATATTGAATGAATGTCACCAAATTAAACCGGTAAAGAAAATAAATAAAATCACTAAATATATAAATAAATGGAGGATATGAGACATAAAAAAGAGTAGTTCATTGAAGCGATACTGGTCAAGCTATTGTGGATAAGTAGACGCCATTAGGTCGTCGTCAAGTTGACACCGATGGGTCTAAGCAAAAGCATGATTAGTACTACAACGTTCTCTGCAGCCTAAAAGCTTACAAGAGGCCTGACTCTTATTAACAGACGGCCAGGATCACCAAATGGTTACTAATGGTAAGACCTGCAAGGGTTCATCGAGCAGTTACATTCGCTAGATGTCCATGGAGTAGTTTCAAATAACCTCTTCGGACGCCATTCGTCAGTATGCGAAAAACATTCTCATTACAAGTACAATAAAACGGTCTTTAGATACAGGAAGGTACTACCGACAAATCTCCAGTGATGCCACATGTAGCTCTATTTTTGATTCACTCGTATACAACCTAAGTCACGCTCTACTTCTAAGTCAAATAATGCCGTTTTTTAGTATTTTTGATACGCAGTGTTGCAAACATGATTCGAAATATTGGATTTAGCTCTTCGTATTATATGGAAAAAATTTCTCCATATAATAAAAGTATGAATATAAACATAACGGCTATAAATGTAATTTATTCATTAATTTCACCGTCATTAATTTATTTCATGTTTTGATATTTATTCTATCACTCGCATACAGCGTTCGCTAAACAACGTTTAGTACATACCACTCGTTGCAGTCGAGCATATCAGAAATGGCGAATTTCTTATGTCGAACAAAAGTCAGTAGAAAACGAGCGCTCGACGCGAGACGTATGATTCAAAAATAGAGCTCATGGAAATCAATGTTCTTTATTTGATTTTGAGATCAAATGTTATTCAACATGAAATTTCAATCTCTCTCACAAAGGGATTCCCAATTCGTCATATTGATGTCTTGTCAAGTAAACTCATATCCGTGGCGTACGCACTAAGCAGTCAAAGAGATAACGTCTGTCTGGTATAGAAGCAGCAAGATTAATCGAGTTAAGTATTGTGAGTGATTAAGTGAGTCTTTTATATATGAAAATAGGTTATATAAAGTACATATATTGTTTAATTAAAAAAAGATTATTGTAGCATGATACAGTATTGTTTGTGATACAGGAAAATGGTCCCAAAAGGGCTTTTGGGCTCTAAGAATTAAATTTAAGGTTGATCGCATCAATACATACTTGTGTACCTGTAATAATTAATACTGGTTTGTTCTTTAAAAACCCAAAGCTTGTAGGTTTTGCATTTTTCGACAAAATTAACTCCTTTTCTTAGATTTAACTTAATATCAAATAAGAATGCAGTGGAGCAAAATTTTTATTTTTATGTTTTTGTGTCTTAGTGTGTTTTATAGAAGATTTAAATTTCTAATTTAAGTGTTGCGCCTTTGTGTAGATTAAAAAAAATTTTTTTTTTTTTTTGCAATTTAAAGCCTGAAATTTAAGCAACTATCAGGCACCTTTCAGGGCAGGAAAGCCCCTTATGGACCCTCATCCAATATAATATGAGATGTTAAGACTTCTTAGCAATTGACAGTCTGAATTACAAGTTTTAGATAGGGTCCTGGGACTTAAGCGGAAATACTTAATTTGATTATTACTTATCTATGTACAATACGGGTGTAGACAGTAAACAAAAATATTTTTTTGAAACTATTTTTAAATATACTACACAAACCTAACGCAATCATTTGAAAAGTTCTCGTATGCAACAAATCTACGTATTTATTATTTTTGCAAAAAAAAAAAAGAATCCAAAATGACATATACGGACACATAAGTAGAAATAATATTAACTGAAAATTTCAAACTATTCAAATACGACTGTTTGAAAATTTATAGTATCACTTTAATCTGTATATATCCTTTATATATTGTAGCTGCACACAACATGAGACAAATATAAACTATTTATTTCGCATTCAACAATTTTATAGTACAAGCTTTTCCTGAAAAAAAATCATATAACACAACTGGCTGAGCAGTGTTTATATCTGTCTAGAAAGTTGGATTAAACTACTCGGCTAATCAACTCTTAACCGTAAACTTGAACTTAGTTGGTTCGTTTGCAACGTCTACAATTTTATAATAATACGTGCAAAATATGATGAATATAAATCCCTCGCTTTATTTGTACAACGGGACCTTCTCGTCTTTTAACGGAAGATTAATTTTCCTTATTTTAACACAATTATTTTTGGTAGGAAGAGCGTTTAAATAGAGAGAGAATTTAAATAAAATAATTATGGTACTAGGGACTGAAGCTTACGAGACGATTTTATTATCACAAATCCGCAACAAAGGAAACTGTAGACCAACATTGGTAATAGTAAAGGGTCTTGTAAGTTTTGCTTATGTGGTGTCTAGGATATCTCATAGGCACCGTCAAACAATAACTCATTAGATTGTAAAGACGCATAAGTTATGTTATTTAATGTGAATGATATAGAGTCCAGAATTGGTTGAGTAAGCCAGTGTCGTATGGTAACTTCATACTAATTATTTCAATTCACACAATTACTATTCATACAAATAAGTCACAATTGGGTGTCAATTTTAACAATTGTTTACACATCATACCAATATTTATAGTATTCAAAGCTACTGAATACTACGTGACCGAGAAATATAACACTTTAGTTAAGCATATTGTTACATAAATATTGTTTAGCGTTACATTATGGCATTTACTACCGATTAAAGAATTTGTGTAATTTTACATATTAACAAAGTGAACCAAAATAGGATTTTATTGAAATATTATTTAAATTCAAATAACAGAGTGAATAAGTTATAAAGTAGATATTGAAACGACTCCGTTGAGCAATACAACAGTGTGTTTGTATGTTGACGTTCTGCAAATGGCATCATTTTAGAAAAAAATTAAATGCTGTTCGTTGCTGATAACTTTTTTCTATAGGATCTCCCAGGACTAAGTTTAAGCTTGCAGTAAATACAGCTGCAAAAGTTGAACAATTTGTAAGTTCTAAAATCAATCGAAACAGTAAACTTAAGATGTCTATCGTTCAAAAATATAGTAGCAATAAAAAAGGGTATTGAATAAGTTCAAAATTCATATTAGATAGAAAGTCTGAGCCAATAAAAGAATTCGAACGCACGCAAACTCTAGTAAAGGTTTTATCATAACTCTTTTTCTGGTAATAACGTAAAAAGGGATGAAACGTACTTCAGAGAAAGTAATACACATTGGAGCCCACTTAGGAATACGAGTATCCAAGACGCAGTGTCCCTCATAAAACATATTATGGGCGACACTATGTCCCGTCGGGAAAATCGAAATCATATTCATACGGGTATAGAGAGTGAAATTCGCTACTTTACCTTTAAATCGCATGTAGTATTGAGTAATAAATTAGATGGTTTCAGGTCTCTGTGCAGCACGTTCGCCGAGTGAATGTATTTGAGACCTCGCAGGATTTGGTAGAGGAAGTAACAGATGTGATCGTTGCTAAGTTTCTGTAACAATAAGTAAAAGATCAGATAAATTTGCCGTAATTATCCATTTTATACTAATATTATACTGATCAGATCATGAATATTCTGTCATCTAAAACAAAATGGGTAAAACGGGTTTTACACTCAAGTGCAGGCACCAGTCTCCGCGATAAATTTTGATGTCCCTGGTATATTTTATACATTTGTACAGTTTTTAGTATTAAGGCGAAAAATAAAGAAATATTATTACATTATTATTATTACCTATGGAACGCTACGTTGTACGCGTGAGCGAACTCGAGAACAGCTATAGTAGAGGATATTTTTGCACATTTCTTTTACTTTCTTCACATTCACGTTTTTTTTACGAAAGGTGCGCGATCAATTAGCAAGTCTGTTATATCAGTCTAGGCCTATGGCTTACATCCTTCCATATTTGCATAATGCCTTAAGCACCGAAATTATTGAGTGCTAATCGATTTCGCGTAGAGTGCATATGTTTAATTTTTGTATTGATATTTGGAGAGCACATCATGTAAAATGAACGATTCGAAATACGAAATACATATCGCACACCTAGATCTAAACTAAGACAACTCAAAAAACTAATGTGGAGTTCTGACAATACATTTGTTTATGTGGCAGGAACGCGACCACTGTTGATTCGACAAAAGAAAGCTAAACTTGTCTAGCAGCTCATCCCCGAACCTTTATTGAATCTGTTATGTTGGATAGATGCGTATGATCACCGAGAATTTGAATATTGTACAAAGTCAAAACTCACTCAAATTTTTGAGTTGTCTCAGTTTAGATCTAGGTGTGCGATATATAAAAATGATTTTTTTCTCATTCACTTCAAATATCCAAAGTAACAAATGAATTATTTAGTTTATAACAGTTACATAGGTGCTTGTTTAAGTGTGATTTTCATGTTGCATATAGGAAATGCAAGTTAACAATAATGCTCTCAATTTAAAAGACCTAAAAGAGTGTATTTTTCATAACAGCGGAACATAAGTACCTCGATCAAAATATACAATAGCATCAAAAAGCTATTTAATAAATTAAAAACTCCTTTTAGTCGAAAATAAAGCGCCTTTCACAGGCACTTGACGCGGAAATCAAGCAAGGACCACAAGGGCCAGTCATAGGATGGGTGACCAAAAATTTAATTGTGTCTACTGCTTCCATGAAAGGCACATTAAGTCGGTGATCCCGTATGCATCTGCAGTCGTTTACGGCTACCAATCTGCACTGAGTCATGCCTCATTCTCCCTATTCGATTCCATCCATAGGGAACGCATGAGCCCAGGCGTAGAGACATTAAGCTGTAAGCTGGAAATAATGACGATTATTTTTGACTAGCTAGTTTCGTTCATAATAGTATCTGGTTTTTGTTAAAACCGAGTGAGATATTTCCAAAGGAAAAAAGAAGCAATTCTAAAGACAAAAACTTCTCGAAAACATTGAAAATATGGTATAGGAGGTTGACAATATTCTTTATATTAAAAAAGTTGTTCGCATAAAAAGCGTTCGCGCCTCCATATGAGCTAAGTCGGCGACAAGTTAAGATTTGATGACCGATAAACTTCACAGTATGGTGGTATCTATAAATCTTTGATAGCCTATTTGTGGCCAGGGTTATCCACGTGATGAGGGTGTGATAGCTGTAACGACGGGAAGAATAGCCATTTCGTACGAAATAGACAAACATAATATATAGACTATTTTCGTCATTATATCCTCACTTCAACAAATTGGATTTTGAAAAGGTTTAATAGGTAACCATAGATTTTTCATTAGTAAATTATTAAAAAGTAATACCAGGACATCACGTGATTCGAACAACGGAACGACTGTATAGTACTAAACACGCCGCCGTTCAAATTTAATTTTGCTATGAAGCGACTTTATTATGATAACAAAATCAAGATTGTGGGAATATTATCTTACCTGTGTTTTTAACAATTTGTAGAGGTCCGTTTCCATTAAACACTGTACGATGTAAACATCTTTCATTTGATCAATGCTGTCCGCTCTTAAAATATCTCGAATGTCGATTATCTGGAACCAATCACATTTTCGTTCAAGAACATCGTCTACGTAAAATTATATTATTAAAAAAAAAGAAGTAATGAAAACTTTAAATTAAGCGTTCGTATTAAGAATAACGTATTCCATCAAAATTGATCTCAATCTAACTTTAATATGATTTACAGTGGAATCTTAAAATGTTACACGTATTTTCTTTTTCAAACAAAATATTCTACTTCAAATAAAGTTGCTAGATCGAAAATTTTATTTCTTTAACATTCTATTTCTCGCGTACAATGGTTCTCTAAACGTCTTATAAACCAATCCTATTACTGTTTGAAGTGTCAAGTGAAAGTTTTACTTACGTTTTCGTGCTTAAAGCGGGTGAGGATTTTGATTTCTCGTAACGTTCTCTGACAGTAGGTCTGGTGTTCAAAGGGTGATATTTTCTTGATGGCAACTTTCGTCCTCTTTATGTTATCGAAGGCCGACCTGGGAAAATAATAAGGGTCGTAAATCATGCGGTCGGGCACATTGTGTCTGCCCACGGCGAGGAAGGGTGGGCATAACCTGACACGCCTCACATAATTCAATATCAGATAGCTATATCGATGTCCTCTTTTTGGTTATGAAAATTATCACAATGTAGATTCTTCTACAAAAAAAAGGTAATTATGATGTACAATAGGTACACGAAAATAATTATATTTTGTTCTTTGTCAGGAAGGCTGTCGGCTCCCATTTTAAACATGAATATCACTTAATTTCTAAAAACCTAGAAACAATTTTTCTGAAGATCGATACTAATTATTACTAGGTACTTCTGCATAGGCCACTGTACGCAGAGTTATCTATATAGAATACTTTTATTATTAGTGCAAATCTAACGAAAAATCTGTCAAGTATCTCTCGCATGCATGCGCTTACGTGACGAATCGTACGTCGAGTGTGCAAGGTTGAATGTAATTAGCAATGTCAGTTGTGACGTTCCGCAACCGACGAGACACGACGCATCTTCCGTCAGATATGCACTGAGCCTTAAACATAATAATTAAATTTAAAGACTTTGAAAGACCGTGCTAGCGTTTGAACATTACTTTTAATAAGATGAGTATTTTAAACTATTACTATTTATAAGTAAAAAGCTTTATATATTATAGATAGCACATGTTGTTGTGATGAGCGTTTTATATGGAAGATATCTTTGTAATATTTGTTTACCACACGTTACCTAATCTTGATCGAAGGGCTATTGATTTGGAAGTATTCGAAACTCAGAATGCTGTGTGTTCAGAATGCAGAATGTTACTCTAATACACAGGTATCTGTTTATCCCGCAAAATACTTCTCAAGAGTTTCAAATTTCATAATGGCAAAAATTCCATAATACTTAAATCATTTTTAGCTAATTCAACATTTCTTTATAACCCAATAGTAAAAAAAAAATTGTAAATAGCCCTGTAGTGAAACCAAAGCGATTCTTGACTCAGAATAGTAAAATGTTTTTACTACTGGTAAAGATAAACTTTCACAAAGTTCTACGATAATAATGGAAAGTAGTGTCTAATAAAATAGTTGATTCGAGGACTAACTTCTACTTTACGTTCTACTAGAAAATGTTATTTGGGGCCAATTTATGGCCTTAATTGATCACTTAACTATTGATCTTTATACTGTACGTTTTTATAAAATTTTCTTGTTTTGTAATGTAAGTTTTTCTCTATCTATTGTATGACTCTAGAAATGAAACAGAGCAGACTGGCATTTTATTTAACTACTTTTATTTATATAATTTAAATAAGACAACGACGAAGGCATGTATTGCATATAGTTACGAATTAAATATGGTTCATACTTAATTTTGCTTTAAAAATAGAACTTACATTTGTTTTTTTCATTAAAGAAAAAATATATATCTTATGTAGTAAGTGGAGCCAAAAACAACCTTCTCATTTTTGGAATCAAGTTCTAAAAAAAATTGTATTTCTCCGTCACATGACCAACAAAATTCACTATAACCTAAATAAAAATTATTTCGGTTATAGTGAAACATCAAAAGAAAACGGTTTCTACTTAAAACACCGGTTAATTTCGCTCACTGATATTTGTTACTCCGCCCATCGCTTTCGTGGTGTCATCAGTACATTTTTGTATTCATTCGCTACTTTTTGATAATGAAAAGCAATCACTCATCATTAAGAAAACTGGGATATCAAAGAAACAGCCTACGACGTTCCGACTATATTTTTGCTTGGAACTAATCAAATTAATCTCGGCGGTTATAAAGTTCGCGCAAGAATTTCGCTCCGAGCGAGCGTTTTATGGCGAGGTTATAAAAAATCACCACTTTTTAAATCAATTTTATTCTAAGGCTCATCTAATATTTTTTTAATAAAATGTTGAAAAATGTTTTTAGAATTTTTCAAATAACAAAAGGTTCACCTAATTAAAGCTTGTTAACATATCTTGAATTTAAACTAAGAAATTAGGTTTGTGTGGAATGTTATTCCAGGGACTGAGATAGGTAAACACCAATTAGTTACTCGCCATTTATACAAAGTTGTGAAATGTTTCACGGCTCATAATTAATGTGCTTCGTAATTGTGTTGTCATTACATTACCTAAATCAACGTGGCTCCGAAGACTACCACAGATACACTCCAAAACGACTTCAGGGACAATAGCTTCATTTATGAATAAAATATTACGACATGCCTATACACCGATATATGAACACGCAGAAGGGAAGTTTTGCAATGGCAACAAAAGGAAAACACAAATGTTATTGTATCAGAAAGTGAATAGGACCTCCGAAGATCGTCTGATATGGAAACTTCAACAATAAATATGCGAATCACAATAATTGGCTCAATAATAATCGCGTAGATGAATAATAAAATGAAGGTACGTATTTATTTACACTATAGATCAGTGTTACCCAAACATTGTTCTGCCATGGTCCAGTTATTTTCACACTTAATATTTTTAAACCCAAATTGGTTCGATTAGGTTAAAGTACCTTAATAACAAAGCTATGGTCGGTATTTTTTTTTTGTCAATGAAACCTAGATATATTGATTTATCACCTCCGAAATACGAATGCCACTAAAGTTATAATGCGAAGTTGTTACGAAGCTGCTGCAAATTTTCTTACTAAAGAAATTTACAATTTTTTTGCTTGGCAGGCTAACTTAATTTAAACATAGCGAATATTCTTTATAAAAAATGCGGGTATGTTGCGACACGGTATTTAAATTTGATGGTCCGGTACCGGGTCGAAACCCAGGAAATGGGAACCACTCCTATACATGAAAGGTGCCATCATAATTTTACATTAAAATAGGTAATAAAAAGCTTACTTAACTCTATTTCATTGCGGAGGAGATTTTTTTTATTTGGATATTTTACTTTACTGAACCGTGTTCTAATGCTAAGTTATTGTTAAAAACGCAAAACCACATACATTGCTGTTCGGGTTTGTGTCTGCCAATGAGTACGGTTATATAGAACAATTAGTAACAACTAATTACAAATCCACTTGGTCCCTGGCACCCTGAGATGGTATTCGAACCCACGACTTTTCGCTACCCAGGACCTAACAGGATTAACGAATCGTTCAAGCTACATTTCGCTACTTAAGAGCGCATTTTGTATTAAGAATAATTTTCAGTATGGCATTGTGAATGCGAAATTAATCAAATATAATAATTACGAATCGTATGGTCTGTCTTTTTATTTTATCATAGTTGAGATACTCTAAAAAAAATTCACTAAATAACCATCCAATGATTGAAATAACGTATCCATTAATAGATTAATACAATACTTCGACCTGGGTCAACAAATTATTATTTTTATATTTTTGATAGAACCTTCTTAGAATGGATTTACATCAAAACATAGAATACACGCACATATTACACACAAAATAACTTTTATATCGTAACTAATGGAATAGCAAACAATATAGTACCTACCCAAATTTCTTGGTAACAGTGTACATGGTATTGGTCATTATTTACGGATATGAGATAACAGCACACAGAGACATATTAGGTAATTTAATGATAATAAAGCATTAATTATAGATGAAATTTCGTCCGCTAAGATCTTTAAACCTACAAAACGGATTTTAATGAGGTTTTCGTCAATGTATAGTGATTCAATAGGAAGTTTTACATATGTAATACAAGACCACAAGGGAAGCTAGGTTAGATACTTATAATTTTAATTATGAGATGGAGCTGTACATTTGGTTTATCGAGGCATTACGTTTTGTTTCTAAAAGTATGTAGGTATCAAATTTGAGTTCCTCTATAAAAAGTTTTAATTTAGTTTGTTTTTGCTCAATTTAGTTATGTGTGCTTGGTTTCAAATACAAAATTTTGGTAGACTTATGATGCGGCTTTATTTACCTCTTAGTAGTTACTTCCTAGGAAGTGTGAACATTAGTTTGTTCAGTTGGAGTGTGTGTATTATTTTTAGATCCATTTTGAAGTAATACTTAATAAATTAATATCGATGACAATTTTCACTTTTCGTTTAAAATAAGGCTTCCCTGTGAATAATTCCCTGTGACCTTAGTCTTAGGCCTCAACCAAAAATGACCAAGATTGAAATGGTTTTGTACAAAGAGTAATTCAAAATAACTATATCATACTTATAAGGATTCAGTGACAGTCAAAACGTACATTTATAAAATTTTCAAAACAATTAAAAGCAAGTAACCTCAGAAATCCACTTTTTTCCATTTCTTGTTGTAAGAATTATTCTGTTTTTTATAGATAGATAGATATGCTATTGCTAATCTATTACGCCCGAGGTAGCAACGCTCGCATGTGGTACATGATTAAAACGAAAGACGGAGAGCTCGTGACAAAAATGTGCAAAAGCTTCTAAAGCATGATATTTCAGTATGTTGAAGTTGACAGTGTGGATGTCAGGTGCTGGAACACCTAGTGGCGGCGGGGCAATGCATAGTTCGTACAATCGTAACACATATCAAAGGTGCTTTTATATAGTTTATAAAATTAGCGAAATTTATTGTTAACATAAAAAAGTTTTCTAAAAATAAACATAATTTATTTATAGTGTGAATACAGATTGTATTTTTAGCACTAGATAAATATAAGTGTTTAGTTTTCAACTGTAATAATATTGAAGAAGGGCAAAAGACCTAAATCAATATTTGAGTTAACTTTTTTAATGGCGAAAATCTAAAAACTAGTTTACCGAGCCAACATGTGAAAACATAATGAAATGTAATAAAACAGAAATTTTAAGACCGTTTATTTTCTTAATTTTATAACAATATTGAACTTTTAAATATTGTCTGTAATTATGATGGAATTATTAACATTCCTGAATTCTCAGTCGAACTGTGCCGCTTTATTATAATAACTTTCTAAAAGTATTTTGACACATCCGACATGTGTAGAGGATAAGCGCCGCGGCCCGCGATCGTTGTTGTTAAGCAACTTTCGCAAGGGGCG